TCTTCAAGCGCCTGGCGTGTCACATTTGAGTGTCCCACCAAGGCTCACTTTCTCCTTCTTAATTGCACTGTCCTGCTCCTGCCTTGTGCTTCTGCATAGGTCTGTATTAGACACTACGTCCAGCCACCTCAATTTCAGAATCTGTCGGAGAAATTTGTTAATGAAGGTCGGTATCTCTGATGGTCTTGGAGACTCCCTATGTCTCGGCTCCACATAATACGATCGTCTTGACAATTGAATTGAAAAATCCTAAATTTTTTGTGTAGGAGATGGATTTTCTGTAATATATATATATATATATATATATATATATATATATATATATATATATATATATATATATATATATATATATATATATATATATATATATATATATATATATATATATATATAAAGCAAATAGTGGAAGTTTGCGCCAACGCAGAGAAAAAATGGCAATCAATGGAACCAACTTACTACTAAACAGTTCTAGAGAAGTGCTACAAACAAACACAGATGGCCATGCTCTTCTACGAGAGTCAAGGATTTACATTAACATTTTAATCAGTTATATTATCAAACCGAGTGTTTGTGCATATGGTGTCCTAGGCAATATTTTCATACTTCTCATCATGAAGTTTCATAAATTAAAGGAGTCAACTAACATTTTAATGGTCGCACTGTCGATTTCCGACATACTTTTTCTAATAACAGATATGATGAAAGTAGTTGTATTATTGATACGTGAATTTGATGTCGTTTTGACAACAACTGTAAACACCTTTCACATCGTTTACGTTGAACCCTGGATCAATTGTACACTAGCTCTTAGCTCTTACATCGTCATCGTTATGGCAATAGAGAGGACGATAGCTATAATGTTTCCCTTCAAGGCGGCACAGTTGATCACAACACAGAGAACAACAATCGCTGTAATTGTGCTGGTCTTAGCATTCATTGGATTGTTTGTTATTTATTGTTTGCCGTTTAGGGTTGTATGGTTTTATGTTCCCGGTAACAACAGAACATTTGCATCATATGTTCTTTCTAAGTTTGCCATTGACAACAGAATTTTGTATTTTTACTACGAAACCTTTGTTGACCTTGTATTAGACATGGGCTTCCCGCCCATAACAATAACTGTCTGTTCTATTTTGATGATAATGAAATTAGTCAAATCTTCTAAAAACATCAAACGGATTTCGTCCAACACTCTTGAAAAGAGAACTAAAGATTTAAAAGCTGTTAAATTTACACTACTACTCTGCGCTTGTGTGATTACACTAAGATTGTTCCCAGTGTACCTTGTTACTTTCATATACAATTTCACGTGGATTATTCCAGAAAAGTATGGGTTTTTAATTTATGATTTCCAGGATTTATTGTTATTCATTGGTGCCTCTATCAACTTAAATCTGTATATAATGATGATTCCAAAATTTTCTAAAACCTATCTAACAATTTTCAAATTAAGTAAAAAAAAGCTTCAAAAGCTGTAGGATTCTTTAAATGATTATTTCGAGTGCAATCAACAAATTAAAGCTCAATTATTGTATATCTATCTATCTATATACTACTAAAACTCAAGTTTGTTTACATGTTTGAATATTTATTTGTTTGTTTTCTTTTTTTTTTGTTTGTCCGTTTGGTTACAGGAGAGAATCTGCTCATGTGTAGAGCTGTAAAATAGTAATTAGGTAGAGAACAATTTTTGTTTTCAGACAGACTGTTAATCACAAATTTATTTAAAGACCTTAATTAATTTATTGATTTATTCATTGGTACATTAACCACATTAATTATAAAAGTTCAGAACAATGACTTTACTTAGAGTGAATAGTGACGTCACACGATTCGTTTACTTTTTAGTACAATAATGGCGGCTTCCATGGAGGACTGTGTTGCCCATTCCAATATTTAACAGGTTCTAAAGCTAATTTTCTGTCGGCTATAACTTTAACGATACGTTCCAACACTTATATCAATTTTCAAAAGTCTTTTTCATTTATTGTATACTTATACAATACATTTCTCTAGCTCTGCAATCTAAAGATCAGCTGTTGAAGAAAGTTATTTATAGAACTAGATCTAGATTCTAGGTAAAACCAATATTCATTAAATAAAAATACAATTCCTTTTAAAATCAGAATACATTTTTGAATGTCTTTATTAAACTATTTTAGTCCTTAAATACTTGATATAATTCTTTGCTTTTTAGCTTCACGGATCATCTAATTCAAGAATACAAGTGATTTTCTATCTAAGTTCTAGATCTAGATCTAGCAAGAGTTACGGCAAAAATATAGACTTAATCAATTCAGTCGTAAAATCTAGATCAGGGGTCTCCAAACTACAACCCGCAGGCCAGATGCGGCCCGCGAGGTCCTCTCATCCGGCCCGCGGAGATCTTTATGTCCATGGAAAAATGTTTGTTAGAGGTGGCTGAGGAACTTTGTCCAGAAAATTCAAAACAATATGGGTCCAAAAAAAAAAGTTGTGGGAAAGTTCTGAGCAGAGTATTTAAGTTAAGAAAGGAAATTGGTGATTTCCTGGAAAGTAAAGGCAATCTACAGCCATTAATGCCTGAACAAGAGTGGGTATAGAAATTGGCCCCCGCTGCATACATAACTAGTCCTTTAAATTTTCTGAACCTAAAACTACAAGAGAGGGAAATCTAGCTTCTATTCACCCACCTAAAGGTCTTCAGATCTAAACTTGTCATGTTTTCAAAACAAGTACAGGCCAACAACTTGACGCACTATCAGCAGTGCAAGGTCTTTACGGCTGAAGCAACCACCGAGTTACCCACGTCATTTGCATGCGAGATCATCAAAGACCTCCAGCTGCAGTTTCAGCAGCGGTTTTCTGACTAGAATTTAAAGGCAGAAGAAGTGAAGCAAATGTGGCCAGTTTTCCAGATGAACTGCAGCTGGAGGTCATTGAATCGTAAGCAAATGACCTCCTTAGAGACACTTTCACAGAAGTGCGTGTGGGTTTTTATAAGTTTCTGCCCATGAAAGACTTTCCTAAAATTAAAACTTTTTCATCAAAGTACCTTTCATATTTTAGAACAACGTGCCTGTGTGAAGAAAAATTTTCAAGGATAAAATACGTGAAAGATAATTTGAGAGCAAACTTGGACTTTGATTGTATTTCTGGCCACCGACAGTGTTTCTATCACATTTTTTACCGGGGGAGGGGGCACTTGAATTTTATACATTATTACTATAGAAATTATATTTCGTTGGGTTTTTTTTTTTTGCGTTGGCCCCCGAACTGATATTCGATAGTTAATGAGGCCCTCGGGCTGAAGAGTTTGGAGAACCCTGATCTAGATAATTCTATCTAGATCTAGATAATAATGAGTTTCTATACTAAACTATTTCAGACCTTTATTATTTTATATAAATCTTTGTTTGTATAGTTATGCAATTGGCTAAAAATAAAATATAAAAGATAAAATTTAATTTTAAAGATAGTAGATCTAGATCTAAATCTAGGGCTTATGCGCCTAAATCAAGTTTCATAAGGAGACTCAAAGTATTATTATATAGCACAAAAAAAAACGTTCAATAATGTCACGAGCCTAGATAGCTAAGTTGTTAGTGTAATAGGCTTCCATGCGGGTGGCACGAGTTCTAGACACATCATGTGAATTTTCATTTTTTTTTAAATGTGAATGATAAAGTTGCTTATTTAGACTTGGCGGGATACAGGGCACGTGAAGTAGAGTTCACCTGTTTCTTTGTCCTCAGTATATGAAGGGATAGTGTGGTCAGAGACATGCTCGGCCGGAATCGTTTTTAAACGATAAAAACATGTTGTCTGAGACTTGGCGGAACACTGGGCAGGTGAAGTAGAGTATAGTAGTTTACCTGTGACGTCAGTATATGAAGGGATAGTGTGGTCAGACCCATGCTCAGCCGAAACCGGTGTTTTTAAAAGAAAAAAAAACGTCTTCTGGAGTGTGGGGTGTGGTTATTTTGTGATAAGTGCCAGACGTGATTTCATTTATGGATGACCCCCCCCCCCCCCCCGAAACCCACAGTTATCTAACTAAATAACGGGTAGTCTACTATGATAAAGTTGCCTATCGGGACTTGGTGGGACAATGGGCAGGTGAAATAGAGTCCACCAGTTTCTGTGTCCTCAGCACCCAGAATAATGAAAACGCGATCACAATTTAGTTTAGATAGAACATTGGCCAGGACATCCCGGCCAGTGCGCGCATTGGCCGGCCAATGTACAAAATACGCTGTCAAGTTTAAGCTCTTCGGACTTTGGCCAATGCGTCCCGGCCAGTGCGCGCATTGGCCGGCCAATATACGAAATACGCTCTTAGTGCTAAGTTCTTCGTGCTTTGGCCAAGAGAACCGGCCAATGCGCGCATTGGCCGGCCAATCCGGGGTTTGGCTGCACTTCGGGCTTTGACCGTAACATATATATATATATATATATATATATATATATATATATATATATATATATATATATATATATATATATATATATATATATATATATATATATATAAATATATATATATATATATATATATATATATATATATATATATATATATATATATATATATATATATATATATATATATATATATGCATATATATAGGCCTATGTAGGCCTGTATATATAAATATAAATATAATATATATATATATATATATATATATATATATATATATATATATATATATATATATATATATATATATATATATATATATATATACATATATATAGGCCTATGTAGGCCTATATATAATTTTATTATTATAAAAGACACTAACCAGCTAATACAATGGTAAATCAAACAAAAATAGTCAAATGTTTCTAAAGCTACTCAAATAACAAGTATTCTACTCACATTTACCGAGCTGTTTATTAAGTGATCGATTTATCAATCGATGTCCTTGTGTATCGATCTTTTACGCTTCAGCAGAGACATATAGAATATTCGAGAACAGCAGCAGTGAAGAATACTGCGCCGTGGGAAGGCTGCATTTTTTACTAGACTGGATTTTAATTTTAATTCAAATTCATAGAAGCTGTATAATCAAGATGCTATCCATTCATCCATCTCTATGGGACTCGATAGTATATAAGGTGCTTTAGTTGCTCTGCCTGTCTACCTATTCCAATGCACCTAAATATTTCAGTCTATTGAATAAATTCGTGTACCAAATAATGAATGTTGCTAGATCGATGATGGTAATTTTCATCGACAACTATTGATCTCACAAACAAGGCGCTGGTCTGAATTCTGATTCAAATCTCCAGCATTGAGGGACTAAAATGTAATCTTTACTTGAGCTTCTCATAACTGTGGTCTCCAACTTGAGGTTTGTTTATAAGGAATGTGCGTTTATCTGGTAAGTCAACAGCTAATTTTCTGCTACATTTGTATATATATTAGCCCATTGTGTGTGTAATTTGACGTTTCAGAAATGAAAATTTAATTTTCAGTTTGATAACTTACGGTAGACATTATTTTTAGACGCCTATTTATTAAAACAATAATAATCTTAATAGATAAACATTTTTTAGAGTTAGAAGAGGCGATCCAGGAGGCTGTACACTTCTTCTTCTTCTTCGTTCTTAATTTTTAGTGTTGAAGGGGATCGAGATTTATCTGCCAGTGGGTTTGAACTCGAGACTGTTCGAATTTATCAACCATGAACTTTTTGCCGACACACTTTTGTACATATATAAATATTGTAATGACGCAAGTTATACGTCATAGAGGTCAAGCAGAAGATAGCAGAAACAGAGCATAGTGTAGTAAGGTAGATTTACAGGAGATGACCGGTCACGTGAGACGGTCAGTTGACCACTGAAGCGTGAGTCGGCAGTTAAAGATAGGTAGCGCTAGAGGAAAGATGTAGAGAGTTAAAATGTAGATAGTGTACTGTTATTGTTGGCCATGGGAGCGTGTAGGGAGATGTCGAGAGTTAGTTGTAGTTAGAAGAATTAGATTTATGGGTAAATAAAAATATTTTTATTATCTTCAACTGGACTTGTGTTTGATCGCATACACCGTACCAGGCATATATAAGAAGAGTCGATCCCCGGAGAAAGAATATATAACGCATGCTCATGACGGAACTTAACTGATAAAGAACGTTCACCAATGAAAATAATTGTACACCACAGTGCCGGGGATTGACTAAAATGTTATATCAAATTACTCTATAAACGTTAACCGCATCTTCTTCTTCCTCGTCGTCATCCAGGAAAAGATTTCCCCAACACAATTATTAAGTATGACGTGTCAACTTGTTATGCGCCATATCGCCGTCTACTCCTATTTCAGCCTTCTTTTCTTTCTGGATTAGCTTCCATAGCCTTTGTCATAAATGTTATATCCAATTAACCTATAATGAAATTTGATTTATTTTTTTGCTTTCTGACCTTACTCGCTGTTACCTTAGACGTGACCCGCTGTGACGTCAGACGTGACCCGCTGTGACGTCAGACGTGACCCGCTGTGGCGTCAGACGTGACCCGCTGTGACGTCAGACGTGACTCGCTGTGACGTCAGACGTGACCCGCGGGGATGTCCGACTCGTGGAGGCTAGCTATGATCCTGGCTGTGCTACTGGCAGCCATAGGGGTATTGCTGCATGCCATAGGGGTGGTGACCCCAGGTTGGTCCGTCTACCCCCCGCTCAAGACGGCCTACGGTCTGTGGTCCCAGTGTGCCGCCTCTGTCTGTGTGAGCATCGTGGGGAGCTCCTTCAATACAGGTACTTTTATATACTCTTATAGTGTGTAGTGTTTCTTTCAGACTTTTTCTGCGGGGACGGGGGGGGGGGACGGGACGACACTTGATATTTTCGGAGGGGGGGGGGGGGGCGGTCAAAATTTTCCGGGGGGGGGCGGACAGTAGTAAAAGTGTATGTTTACTATATAAAATCCATCTCGTTCGGGGGGGGGAGGGCGGACACTAGTAAAAATATATGTTTTCTATATAAATTCCATTTCCTTCGAGGGGGGGGGGCGGTAGACTTTCTTGGGGGGGGGGGGGGGGGCTCCGCGGGAAGAAACTCTAATAGTGTGTATTTTGTACTTACATTAACCATACATCACAATAGGGCTTGTAAGTAGGTCGCAACTTCTCGTTCTCGTACTTCGCTTACAATAACCATACATCACAATAGGACTTGTAAGTAGGTCGCAACTTCTCGTTCTCGTACTTGCCAGCTAGTAGATTTCGAGACCGTAGTTTTACAAGCCCTATTAGCAACACCACCAGACAGGCATAGATTGGATTCCCCAATGAAAGGGGAAAGTATGTAGGCCAAAATTGTTCCCTTTTCGAACCTTATGGTTAAAGGGATAAGTGAAGTAGAGTTCATTTGTTACTGTAACCTTGGCATATGAAGGGGGATGTATGTCAGCACTATGCCCAGTCCCTTTTACTTTTCCTAACGTGAGTAAGGTACTCATCAGAGCTGGATGGACTCAGGGACGTTCTACTGACTCCAATTTCGAGTCTCTAGTCTCCTAGTCCCATGTAGACCAAAATAAACAATGGAAGATCAGTTGTCAGTGACGCAGAAGCAGTCGGGATGTCGTGGGCCAGACTTTGAGGAATCACCCGAAACCAAGTATGATAGAGAGGTGTGGTTGCATCCCTTTGGTCGCTAAGTGGTCTCACATGATTGTCATAACGATGTTTATTAGTTTGAGGATTGGGTTCTGATAAAATCCAGTGATGCCTTTTTAGTAAGGAGATCCAGTTTTCGTGAGGAACACGTTTTCTCTCACATCTTGCCAGATAGTGAGGACCTAGTTTTCTCTCACATCTTGCCATATTGTGAGGACCTAGTTATCTCTCACATCATGCCAGATTGTGAGGACCTAGTTATCTCTCACATCATGCCATATTGTGACGACCAAGTTATCTCTCACATCTTGCCAGATTGTGAGGACCTAGTTTTCTCTCACATCTTGCCAGATTGTGAGGACCTAGTTATCTCTCACATCTTGCCAGATTGTGAGGACCTAGTTATCTCTCACATCTTGCCAGATTGTGAGGACCTAGTTATCTCTCACATCTTGCCAGATTGTGAGGACCTAGTTATCTCTCACATCTTGCCATATTGTGAGGACCTAGTTATCTCTCACATCTTGCCAGATTGTGAGGACCTAGTTATCTCTCACATCATGCCATATTGTGAGGACCTAGTTATCTCTCACATCTTGCCAGATTGTGAGGACCTAGTTATCTCTCACATCTTGCCAGATTGTGATGACCTAGTTTTCTCTCACATCATGCCAGATTGTGAGGACCTAGTTATCTCTCACATCATGCCATATTGTGAGGACCTAGTTATCTCTCACATCTTGCCAGATTGTGAGGACCTAGTTATCTCTCACATCATGCCAGATTGTGAGGACCTAGTTATCTCTCACATCTTGCCAGATTGTGAGGACCTAGTTATCTCTCACATCTTGCCAGATTGTGAGGACCTAGTTATCTCTCACATCATGCCATATTGTGAGGACCTAGTTATCTCTCACATCTTGCCAGATTGTGAGGACCTAGTTATCTCTCACATCTTGCCAGATTGTGATGACCTAGTTTTCTCTCACATCATGCCAGATTGTGAGGACCTAGTTATCTCTCACATCATGCCATATTGTGAGGACCTAGTTATCTCTCACATCTTGCCAGATTGTGAGGACCTAGTTATCTCTCACATCATGCCAGATTGTGAGGACCTAGTTATCTCTCACATCTTGCCAGATTGTGATGACCTAGTTATCTCTCACATCATGCCAGATTGTGAGGACCTAGTTATCTCTCACATCATGCCAGATTGTGAGGACCTAGTTATCTCTCACATCATGCCAGATTGTGAGGACCTAGTTTTCTCACACATCATGCCAGATTGTGAGGACCTAGTTATCTCTCACATCATGCCAGATTGTGAGGACCTAGTTATCTCTCACATCATGCCAGATTGTGAGGACCTAGTTATCTCTCACATCATGCCAGATTGTGAGGACCTAGTTATCTCTCACATCATGCCAGATTGTGAGGACCTAGTTATCTCTCACATCTTGCCAGATTGTGATGACCTAGTTATCTCTCACATCATGCCAGATTGTGAGGACCTAGTTATCTCTCACATCATGCCAGATTGTGAGGACCTAGTTATCTCTCACATCATGCCAGATTGTGAGGACCTAGTTTTCTCACACATCATGCCAGATTGTGAGGACCTAGTTATCTCTCACATCATGCCATATTGTAAGGACCTAGTTATATCTCACATCATGCCAGAACACCTCTTTTCTCTCCCAGCCAGTTACCAGGCGTGTCAGGCCCTGTCAATCATCGGGTTGCTCCAGGGGACAACCGGGGTTGTCGTGTCAGGGGTGCACATCGTCAGGTCACTCATGGATAAAGACACGATCACTTTGCTCCCAAAGCTGTCAGCGGCTGCATGTTTCGCTTCGTGTGAGCCCTTTTTTTTTTTTATTAGCCATTCTTTTTCTACGTACTGGATGCATATGTGTGTGTGTTTGTGTGTGTGTGTGTGTGCGCGCGTGTGTGTATGGGGCCCGGGGGGGGGGGGGGGAAGAAGAGTTCACCTCTTTCCGTAGTCACGACATATAAATGGATCAGCCTTGGTCAGTGTGGTCAGCCTTGGCTTCCCAAACGTAAGTCAGGTACCCACCAGAGCTGGGTTGACTCAGGGACGACCGGGATCAGAACTCGAGACTTTTGGGTTAGAGGTCGAACACTCTACAGTTCGTTCACGTCATGTGATATAGTTGACGATGTGTGGTTACAAATATTATATATTTCGATTAAAACTCTTTATATGGCTTTGAAAATATGTTAATATCTACAGTACTTTAAATTGAGTGTATTAAATATGCTTAGTACAATTAATACTCTTGACATTAAAAAATAAAGATGTCAATATGTGTCCATACAAGCAGTGGCGTAGCCAGGAATTGGTCATGGGAGGGCTTCAACAATTTTCCCATTTGTATACAATTATATATATATATATATATATATATATATATATATATATATATATATATATATATATATATATATATATATATATATATATATATATATATATATATATATATATATATAGTATATATAGGCTTTATTTATTGGGGTTGGGGGACCATGGGAGGGGTTATAACCCCCCTTGCATACACCACTACATACAAGTTTGGCGAGATTACAAACTCGAATCCAAATACTAAACTTAACTTTCTAATCCTTACAGTCACGGCCATCACCATTCTGATCATCGTCTGGGGTGTGGACGTCCACTCGACCTACGAACAGGCGGGCTTTGATGTCGGCTACTCGGCTTTTCTTTGCATCGCTGGGGCTGTGCTTCTGGCCCTGGGGGGCGGGGCCATGCTGTGTGCCAACCGGCTGGATTCACAGACTTTCTAAAAAAAATTGGTCTGACGGCTGTTTGAATACTGTTTCAAATGGCACTCAAAAATATTTTGTCTCACTTCTGTGCTGTTTGAGTACTGATTCAAATGGCACCCCCAGTTTACATGGATATAATTTGTTTTCATATAAATTGTTTTAAATTTCATAACTACTATGCACTTTCTGTGTTAAGTTTTAATACACACACTGTGTTATCATTCCATTTTGGTTATGTTGTTTCTGTATGGTTGTGTGTGTATTTTTTTCATATATAGAGTCTATTTAAAAAAAAAATACTGTTAACTATATCAGTTTTTACAACACATTCATTTATCTTCTTTATTAGCTTCTTTTGTAATTTAAAATCATGCACTAAAGAGATTTTCTAAAATTCTCGGTGCCAATGTTACCAATTATAGGCTACCTGTGTTTATAAAAATAACGAAAACATTCTATAGTTAATTTTTTTATTTCGAACTGAAATCATCAACCATTCTATTCATAAAGTATTCAAAAAATAACTTCCAAAGCATAGTTCAACATATACCATACGATTCTTCCAATTGTATCTAAACATTTTACCCGGCGTTTGTTCTTATAGTAGTAGCACTATAATAACAAGGGAACATAGGAGATATTTTTTTATAAATCGTTAAATCGGATAAAATTAAATCTATGCGGAATTTTGTACCAGAGTAGTTAATTAAATCAAAACCTGTCATATACAATTAAATTATGCATCACAACAAAAAATTTAAATATGTAAGACTTTATTACTTTTTTATTGTATGGTTTTACCCCTGTAGGAATTACCTAAGTCAAAAAGCACCCCAGGGTTCCACGTTAAAGCTGAAGACACAGTATCTAAACATCAATTGTTTTACTCTGTTATTACCATCTGACCAAAATGAGAGCGATAGATGTAAAGGTTAGATCTGTTCGACTAACTATGGCCTTGAAGAAATAGTTTGCTGGATGGGGAGTCATGGTAGGTTTTTAAGACCTTGTACTTGGTCAAATAGGACTTCCAGAAAGGACTATATCCTTTGACTTGCCAAAAAAAAAGTCTTGATATATTTTTGTGTAAAAAAAATTAATAGATATTCTTTGACTTGCCAAGAGACTTGATATTCTTTGACTTTTTTTTTATTAATTTTTTTTTGCTATTATTAATAGATCAGCAAAAGAAAACCCACTACACTCTTGTTTCAAGCTGTCCCTACAACTTCCACATGTCTAACTTGTTATATTTATTAACACATTAACTGGCATATAACAATACTTACAACATTTTTACATACCAATGATTGATCAAACAACAAATACATTTGTTCACATAGGAGGACTTACAACAACTTCCACTGCCAAAGCAACATAACTTATCAAATTTTATTTCGTATTGGTTTCACAATTACCTTGATTGAAACTATCACACCAAAATTATTGCCAGGTGACATCACATAAGCATGAAGGCTCCGTTTTTACAAACACAAACTTTATTTCAAGTCTATGAAAAATTTTAAAATGTAACAAGTTGGTCCTTTTATACAGGTTTCAAGTTCAGCAAGAAAAGCAAGTACATCACGCTACTCCAACCCATTAAAAAAACTTACAAATATGGATCAGTTTTTAAATGGAAAGGAAGTTATGCACTTTAAAAAGAAAAACAAGCAATGAAATAACTACTATTTTAATCAAGTTAAAAAAAAAAGATAAAATATTGAAGTCAAAAAAGGTTAAAATAAGATTCTAATACTAGGGGTCAAACCCCTTCTTCCAAAGAACAGATGAAACTGATAACTTTAAAAAGTAGGTTATTTTTGCAGTGATTGTGTAGGCTTGAGTGATTACAACACCAAATTCTAAAAAAAAAACAGATATGTACTTGTTTATAATGATTTAATATTTTCAAAATGCACTGTTTCCATAAAACAATGATGCCACACTAGCATCAGCTTATTGTGTTCCACAGTGTACACTTATCATAGGGAGGCATCCAAAGACTTACTATGTGAAAAATAGAAGAAAATGTTTTAATTCAGTATGGCCACTTTCAGCCTGAGTAAAATTTTACCGTTCAAAACACACAAAATTAATGGCAGTTTATTAGAAATAAGGTAACAATGTAAACAATTAATTGACAAAGAAATTAACTATAAAGATCTAGCGTTCAGCAATTTCTTCTAAATAAATATATTTTTTAAAATTTTGTCCATTTGTTTAAAAATTTCAACATTTGTGTTATTCTACAGCAATAATATGAATTAGATAAGAATCATTATTATTGATATAATATTAACTGTAATGTTAAAAGCAGAATTCATTAAGTCTCTGACCTAAAACAATCCATTTCATTTGTTGCAAGGCATAATATCAATGTCAAAATACACCATCAGTTTCCTCATTCAATCCACTAGGTTTTAAATCTCAAACCTCAGTTCCGGAGATTGACATGTGCAACCATACCTAGATAAACTATTTAAATCTTAACCCTCGGTTCCGAGATTAACATATGCGACCGTACTTAGATAAACTATCAAACCTAGCAGGACCCTGCACTAGCACTGGAAACCACCATTTTTCTGACCCTGAGTAAATACAAACAATAAACCATTTTCTTCCTACCAAGCAAGCTGCTAACTACTATAACCATGTACCATTATCTTTTTTACTATCACACAGTTTCAATAATTTAAAAAAAGGATACAAATTTCAATTCATAATCTACAAATCAATGAACTCATATTGAATACATTCATTCATTAAAATATAGAAATATAATGCATAAAAAATAAAAAGCCATGTCACCTGTATTTGCTGTGACAATTTTTTCTAGTCAAAACCAAATTAGAATTTTTATTCTCTAAAAACATAAAGCATACAATTATTATAACAATCCAACTCCATTCTGACAACAAGGATTATTGTTAAGATGGGGGAAGCTTTGGTCTAAATCACAAAGTTCTCAGAGAATCTGTGCCAGATAAAATAAAACAATGTACAATATGTACATAAAATGTCCAATCAGGCAACCCATTTCCACCAAGATAGCTAACTCCTTTCATTCTTTGTTAGGTAATTCATCATAAGTCAGTTAGATAATTATTTCTGCCGTGGAGTTCACAGGACAAAACATAAATTTTATTTGAAATTAGCGCCCTTGCAGGAAAGGCTAAGGGGCTATTGAACCCACATCATCAAAAGCAAATAAAATCAAACCAATATATAAAAAAAAATTATTTCTTTAAAAATAACTCCAAAATCAACAAGACAGATGAATTAGTAAGTGATAAATAATAGTAAGAGATCTAGTGTACAGGCTAAGATGATACATGGCTCTGGTGATCAGGGACTCCATTAGGGACAACAGGGTGATGATGGTGATGATGCCCATCATCTCCGTGGTGATGCCCATTGTCTCCGTGGTGATGCCCATCATCTCCGTGGTGATGGTGATCATCATCTCCATGGTGATGGTGCCCATCACAGGCAGAATGTTGTAATCCAGAGTTGGTGTCAGCTGAGGTTGCGATGGCTTTAGGGGCTGCTGGTGTAGTTAAGGGGACCTGGGGCAGGAGGCCGGGTGGTGGGTTGAATCCAGGAAGACTGCTGGGCAGGGTGAAGTTTGGAAGAGGTGTTGGGGCAGGCAAGGAGACATTGAAAGGAGGAATACCTGTGAGGAATAAAAAAAAGTTAGAAGTTATTTTAATAATATAATGTTGAAAAAATTAATTCAAATGTGTAAGTATTTTTATTTACTTTGGCCTCTACAATAATTTCAGACATTTCACGCATATGATTATTTTTATATCAAGTCAAAGTTGTAGTTGTTTCTAATTATTTATACATATTTTTGTGATGATGTTTTAAAAGCATGATCCTTATTTAAAACATATTTCTTATGTTTTAATTTTTTTGTTTTACTTTAAATGAGAAATTTAAAACAAATTATCATATAAATAGTATTTTACATAGTAAATAGTAAAAAGGGCCAATTCTTCATGTGTTTGCCATTAAAATAAAAATATTGACTTCCAAGACTAACTAAATAACAGTAATTCAAAATGATTAAAAAGACTCCAATATGAGGCAACAGTTTAAAATAAGACAAAAAGAATATTCTAGTTGTTCCCAGATAGTGCTCAAATGGAAAACTGCGCAGAGAAATGGGATGTCAAGAAAAGTTATGTATAAGATGTCAACAACAGTCATGCATATGATGTCAAGAATAGTTATGCATACAATGTCAAGAATAGTTACATATAATATGGCATTATTCACATACCTGCAGGGAAGGCTGGCAGAGGACCAGAAGCTCCACTGGCATTCAGGGGAGGTAATGACACTGGGGGAATTCCAGAGAGAGAAATGGGATTTGTCAATCCTGGCAGGTTAGATAAATTGGGGATAACTGGGTGGGGTAAGCCTGAAAGAAAAACACAATGATTGGTGTTATATGATGAAGATCAAAACTGTGTTCTATTATAACCCTTCCCAAAAAATTTATGTGTTCACAAAAAAATCAAAATGATCTGTAGTCTTCTAGTCTTTCTGATTGTTTTCATCAACAATTTTTAAAATCAAGACAAGGAGTTTTAAAATAATATTATTTTTATGTTTTGAAAGGTGATGAATAAATTTCCTTTAAAAAATTATTGGTGTTTATGCTGTATCTGATTTTGAAAATTCATGTCAATGAAAGTGTATCCATCACATTTTTTAAAAAACGCAATCAGAGGCACTGTTAAAGAGGTCCAACAAATGGTTTGATGGGTATTTTCCCTTACCTGGCATACCTGGACTATTTGTCTGTGTAAATGATGTGTTGTGGTGCGATGTAATGACAGGAATTGTGGGTGAACCTGGGAAAAACAAACATGGAACTGTCAATCTGTCCACTGGTCTACATACAAAACATGGTTTCAAAAGGAATGGGGTTTTTATTTACATCTAATCAATCCCTACCTGTATTGAGAGATAGGTGAGCTAATCCAGAGTTGATGCTTCCTGCATTAGGCGATCCAGTCAAAGGTATCTGCAAGCAGAGATATAATCAGCATTAATATTTTATACTAACATAAAATCAGGTTGTGCAGGCTCTGTAGTTTTTTTTTTTCTGAAATGAAAATACACCCTACTCTGAAAATTTTTTAAGTTACAAACATCGCCTTAAAATTCAGATATCCTTAATGTTTAACATACAACCTAGTGGAAATACTATGTACAGCCCATTTTTAACATATGTACAGGAGTGGAATGGAATGCTCAGGAAGCACTAGGAAAAATTAAAAGGCCATATCTGACTAATTTTTAATACTATAGAATCATTCAAGGCTACATAGTTCTTTCTGGTAGTCTAGTCCAACTGTCTACAAATATTAATGTTGGAACTATGCAAGTAATTCACATGTATAAACATACATATAAATGAAACACAAGTGAATAATAGTTGTTCTCGCGTTTAAAAAAAAAGCCTTTTTGGTAAGATGGTGTTTATATGCTTACAATTGATGATTCCAATAAATATGATAAAATGTCACTACCAGTAAAAATTATGAGGGTCTGTGTCTAGTGACCAATTTGTATCTACAGATCTTTTTAAAGACTTTTTTAGGGTAAAACCAAGGGTTTATCATTCACAGTAAAAATATTTTCATTCTTCAAGTGTTGAAGATTTGAATTTTTAAGTTTTCATCCTATAGTTGCGATGATAAATCTAGCATTAAGTGATAAAAATGAAATGTTGATGGATATTTTTGCCATAAAAAGACAATAAAATGGTTTTTATAACAACTCAGTGCTTTATTATTATTTTAATTTACATCAACAGAAACCGATACCGAAACTAGCGAAAAAATGTGTTCGAAAAAATAAGCTAGTCATTTTAGACACAGATCACTTTGGTCTGAAAATGAAACAAAAAAATTTCCTCTTTAGTAATAAATAAATATAAAAATAATCTAACAATAGAGTAGAAAAAGAAAAATATTTATTATATTTAAGAATTCCGTTTTACTAGTAATTATTAACCTATGTGTATGTAAACAAATAGTAAGTTTTTTTTTTCTCAGCAATTTTTCACAAATATACAAACTGAAATGGGTTTAATAAGATTCAACAAGAATCCTTAACCAACAATACAGTTAGTTGTAGGTAGTAAACACCAAAACATTCTTAACTCTTTACAGCCTTGTGTGCCAAAATGTGCCACTGATTTTTCATATGTGGTAGTCTTATGCGCCAAAACTATGTGTAGTAAAATTATTGATGTCTTATAATGGAAAAGACTAGCTGGTAATGAGATTTTAAAAATACCAGCAGTATCAGGAAATGAAATGTTTTATTGAAATCTTTTTGCAGAGTTTTATTACTAACAGTCATTTTTTAAAATATTGTTTGCAATATTTTAAGATCACAAAACTTATTTTCCTAAATTACAAACAAAAATTAGTGAACTTTAGACTAATTAAAATACTACTTCTGTTGCAATGTAGCTAATATAGCAATAAATCCAGAAATCAGTACCAGTGACTTTTTTACATTTTAAATCATTTTTTTTAAAAAAAAACAATACTGAAGGTACACCTTTTTTCCAGTAAAATATTTTTTTTAACTTTTAAAAATAAGTGTATATTTTTTTAAGTCTTATTGTTGGAAAAAAACTACTTTATAATTTTCCATTAAACAATAAGTAGTAGTAAAGTAAAGCACTTCTTTAGACCTAGCAATCAATTGGGCAGATGAAGTAAAAATCATGTTTTTTGACCTCAGCATATAAAGGGATAGTGTGGTCAGCACTATGCCCAGACACCTTTACTTTCTCCAAGTAAGTCAGGACTCTATCAGAGCTGGGTGCTCAGGGATGTTCTACAGTTACAAGTCTGAACAGAGATCTGAACTCAGGAACTTCTGGCAGGGAATTAAATTGTTTCTGTGCTCAGGCTGAAAATGGTTAGTATTTTTATAAAAATGTAAAACAAAAACCTCAGAAAATCCATCCTTAGGGGGTGATGGTGGCGGAGCAGTGGGTGTAACTACATTTGTATGAGGCTGCACCTTGGTAGATGGAAACTGTCGTTTAGGGATTCGATGCAGATAACCATATCCTATGTTGCACCCTAGACTGTAATAGTAAAAAATAAAAGGATAAGATACTTGGTTCCAAAAGATTAAATTTTAGATGTCTGAAATGGAACAAGTTGAAATAATTCAACTCAACTAACTACTCTTGTGTCCTCATTTTGAATACAATTTCACAATCAAACAAAATGTTTTCTAAAAAGTGCAGTTACAAAAGAACAGTGCAAACTGGGATTTGAAGTAATGGTACCTAAGTAAAACAAAATTATATTCTGTAACTTAACTGATTTGAAAAAAGTTCCAGATGTACTACTTAATGTGTCATAAAAAAGCAATTATTTTATTTAAGAAAAACAAACTGTTAAAACTGCCTCATTATATCTGAATGTTAATTAAACCGATACATACCTCCCTTTTCCTCCCCATGATCCATTAGGTGTGATTGTTACCTCCCTGCATGAGTCAGTCTCAGTATTGTATACATACAGCTTTAGAGCTTTGCCTTCATGTGACTCAATCAGTGTAAACAAATCTTCAGACTAAAACAGATTGAACAAGACCAAGCAAGTACATTTTTTTTGTTAAAATTCAACTTTAAAATACAATTATTATAGATTATTTATCAGTTACACTTTTTACCTCATGTAAAACAGAATCGGCACCAATCACAAAGTCTGTATCGGAGCGCAGTCCAGCAAGGTCAGCAGGTGAATTGGGTTGGACTTCCTGCAATAATTTTTTTTTGTTATATGAATTGTTTCCAGGGAATTGTATTCATCAACTCAGATTGATTTAAAATAAATTAATACAACAACTCAGTTTAACATCTTGATAGTAAAATTAAAAAATGGAAATGGTTACAGCTCTAAGAAAGAATGAAATAAGTTTAATAAAAAGTGGGTAGAATAATTTTTAATCTATCATACCAGGATGTGCCAAACATTTTCATTGGCACCCTCAAATGAGCAGAACCTGATGCTGACACCAAGAAGACCTTGACCTCCCCAATTGTGAGATGGTATCAGACTAACTTCTCTAACATTCTGTGTTTTACTGCTATAAACTGTAACTTTTAGAGGCTTTTCTATGTTTGTTTTTAGTAGTTCCTTCAGTGTATCATTATCTTGATTCTAAGGAAAAAAACAAAGAAATTAAAAAATTAAAAAACTCCAAAGGATTTTAGCTACCTAAGTATAAATGAATGTGCTTGGTTGATGTAAAAACAGAACTATTCTTACTCAATAGAGATAGCAATGTCTTAATATAAACAGAATTTCAGTTTTAAAGATACATGACAAATCTTAAATACTTCTTAATTATAATTCAAATCTAATAGTAGACTAGTATAATATATAAATCAAAGCTAAACAAGGAAAAATTTGATTTAAGCTTCAATACTTACTAAACGAGTGGTGCCAATGGCAACAATGAAGTCAAAAAAAGCTTCAAGGCCAGCGTTATGCCCAGGGGAACCATCTTGCACCTAAATGAAGTTTAAAAAATAAAACTTTTAACCATAGTAAAATAAAATGCAACATAATTTATTTAATTAAATAAGATTCTGATGCGGCTTATGCGGTTTCAACAAAGAAAGTTTACAAAGTGACTACTCAGAAGAAGATTTTTCTCCCCAACGTCTCCATTTAGTCAGCAAAAGATAGCTCTGCGCATGCGCAGTGACCTATGGCTAGAATTAGGGTTAGGGATAGGATTAGGGTTGGTGTTAGGGTTCTACATTTGTAAACACACGCATGCGCAGTACCATCAAAAACATCGCAGCGATGGCAAGTCGTAGTTTCTCTCCATTGAGCATGCGTATCTTATTCCGGCTAGCATTGGCCAAAAGTTTATTTAGGCCTATGGGATGATTATAGATATCAGTGTCCGATAATGGAATCATCTTTAAAATAGGGGTGTTGGGTTGTTAGTAGTATTGTAATCTCGACTAATTTTATGGTTAGAAATTAGGGTTAGGCTTATGGTTGGACCAGGGTTGGGGTTAGGGACAGGGTTAGCATTGACATTAGCCAGCCATGTGTGTATTTAGTTAACTACCAGTAACCTAACACCCCTTTTTAAAAGAAGATTCCATTATCAGACACCGGTGTAAACATTCTCCCGAAGTTTTTTACTTTTAGTCTAGATCTAGAAAAATTAATTTGCAAAATAGTTCATTCATGTCATTTTATTATTTATTGAGTTAGGCTATTGTATTCAATGATTATTCAACCGTCATATAATTATAAAATAAAAGCATAATTGGCTGCTTCAAAACATTAGGTAGTGATAACAAAAAAAGTAGCACTAAACAAGAATAATTACACCAGGTTTGTTAGTTGAAATAAAGCTACAATTAGTAGGCCTACAACACATAGATCTGGATCTAAATAAATAGTCTAATTTATAAGATAAATAAATCCTAATATATAAATCCCCACGTTCGCACATCTCTCTCTCTCTCTCTCTCTTTCTCTGTCCGCAAAAAATTTTCGCCGGACATCACGTCAGAATCGGCAGCGATATATGAAGAACTTTTTACGGACTTTTGTTGAAAATAATATGTTAGATGTTTTAAATGTATAACCACAATTTTAGTTAAAGAAGAAAAATAAAAATTAAAGGCGTATTCGAATGTAGAGAAACAGTATTATTTATGCAACCGGAAAAGCATTAATATATGTGAAAAAGAACGCATAAAACTGTGACGTCACTATTGCTTATACATTAACTAATGACGTCATCTGCCGTGTTTAGAATGAAAAGAAATGAACTATTTCATTCAAATTTGATTTAGATCTACGTACACTATGAAATGTATACAATACAATTTTTCCGGCCTAAACTCATAAAATTTATTTTATGTATTTGGATTCTAGATCTAGAGATTCTAGATCTAGACTAAATCTAAATCTAAATCCACGCAATAACTAGATCTAGACGTAGACGCTAAGATTTAGATTTAGACTCTAACTTCTCTAAAATCAATTCCAAAAATAAATTTCTATATTAGGACTAAACTATTTCAAGACTTATTTATTTTATACAAAATCTTTGTTATGAACTGGCTAATTTGGGATAAAAAATTAATTTGAAAGAATAGGCATATTCGCGTAAGTTAAGATTTTAAAATACGTGTTTCATTCTCCGTATTTTATAAGGTGCCTAAATAGCGGAGATGTTAGTGTACATTAAACCACGCAGGTGGTGCGGGTTCGAGACACAGCAAGTCAACTTGGTTAATGTATTCTTTTTTATTATGCTCGGGCTAAACTTAAAAAAAAAATTCTTTTAGGAATCTAGCTCTAGATCTAGATTGTCGGGTGTCCGATAGGGCACTTCCCGGCGCCGCAGGCGCTTCAAATTTGGCATGATCTTGCCTTGGTGCGACAGAACACGGGGGCCGGTTGGCCGAAAAGTCTACGATGTGGGGGTCAAAACTGACCTCGACTGACCGGTACCTTATATGAGCTATAAATTAGAGAAACTCACTAATTTTAAATTTCGTTATTTTTCAATTTCAACATTACCAATGGAAACTAGAGATCAATCTCTAATCAATCAAATACTTAATTTGTTGAAAATAAACTCATTTGGAGCTTAATTACTGATTTTTATTAATTGGCCACTCCAAGCATTGCAAGCTAAATAATCCGTGACAACCAGACCGCCATATTCTTTTCTGAAGAGACGAACTCTGCAGGGTTGACCTTGCAGCTGATTTGATTTTAGCAGAATATGCACAGTACATTTGATTTTATTACCAGATGTCTATTCGTATGGATACTGTCCTCATCAGAATAAAAGTCACCAAATGGAATTAGATCTAGATCTGCATTTTTTAATATTTGATTTAATTTTTTTTAATGGGAGGGTGTTTTAAAAGGAAAACTAAACCCAATAATGAATTTGATGACAATTTCTTTATATTTTATGAAGGAAAATCAACCCAAATTATAATGACTTTGATGAGACAATTGTCTTTGTCAGAGTGAAAATCACAAGTATAAAATATTATGAAATATATTTAAAAATCACAAGCCAGAAGTAATGTTTTTAGACATTTTTATTTATATATAAACCAGTATTCAATAAGAAAAAAACAAAATTATTGACAATTTAAAAAATACAGAATCACTATACAAAATGGAAGATATCAATAGTTTTTTTTTCAATTTGAACAGTGATTTTATTAGCCCTAATTTTAGGATTAATTTTTCCAGGTAGAGATTTATCTCTGTACCCAACCCTCCTCCTTTATCCGGGCTTGGGACCGGCAGGATATTCCCAAAGGTGTTATCCAGGCGGAGTTAAAAATATTTTGCTGAAAAAGAAAAAAAGCGTTTATTAAACAAACTACACCTGGGAGGGAAGTATGTTTTTAACATTACAAACATTAAAATACTATCTGAATTATTAGGGGTAAATAAAAATTTTAAAAATTACATACCTTTTAATTAGACTTTCTGTGAAAAAAAAAGGAGAATTATAATCAACACATTGGTATCAGTAAATGTTGCAAAGAAATAATTTTTATTAGGTTATTAAATTAATAGCTCATGTAGTATAACATTTTTATAAAAATATAAAAAGTGGAAATTGCATAAATTGTATGTGCAGAAAAATGATAAAAATCTAAAAATATTATAAAATAAACAAATTAATAATCAAAAGATAAATCATAACCAACCAATAAAACTAAAAAATTAATTTTGAGATTTAATCTGATAACAAGTGGAAGGAATTGCATGAATAATTATAATAACATAAATTTTAAAATGTATTTTACAAAATTAGGAAAAAAATACACAGCAGAAAAACATATTTAAGAGCAAATTTGCTAAACTAAACAGTTCAAGAAAGAATATATATAATGATGTATGTGTGTGTACTTATTTTACAAGGTGAAATAAATTAGCAATTTAAATAACTAATTAAAGCAAACAGCTAAGCATATAATATCAATTAGAACAAAATAAAAGTGCCAGTTATATTTAATACTTATCTTGCATAATTTATCCTAATGAGCTGAAAATGCAGGGTGTTAAGAAGAGGATTCAGTTTATTCAGTGAACAAAGCAGAGGTCTCCCATCAACAAGTCAGCAACAAGCGACTCCACAGACAGAACGAAGTCCTCAGCATCATCCTCATTATCTGTCCAATAGCTGACTGTATAACGTGCTGACTTGGTCCTGGTGGCATCTATCCTGTTCACTATTCTACCATTAAACACAACATCACTACCATCCGACTCCCACTTGTGAGTCAGAAGGACGCCAACTAGCTCTTCCTTCTCCAAAATTCTTTGCAAAAAGGGTCTCTGCTTGCCATCAACAGTATGAAATAGTGGGTGATCCAAAGAAGCAACCCCTTCTGCCATAACTTTGCGCACCTGAGCTTCGCTTACCGACCGGGCTCTATTTTCCTTTTTCTTCTGAAGCTCAGTCATGCGCCTAATTATGTTAGAGTCTATTTCATGCTGCAATCGCTTGCAGGCTTCCCTTATTTGGGCACCCCTATGCATGGCAAAGGTTACCAAGCGCTCTTGCATGTCTAGAGGTTTCCCTTCCAGCCAGACAAGAGTGTTGTTAAGCTTTGCCTTCAACTTGGAATCTAAGAAACCAATTGATACATTGGGGGCACGCCTAATAAGGTAGTCAGCAATGCCGAGACACCTTTCGGCAAACATATTGTGGGGAGGAACAGACTTAGTGGCATCCAACTGCTCAGAAGTGGGCTTCGAAAGGTCACCCACCAGGTAACGTTCAAGTTGACGTAGAAGAACCTCCTTTGTAGAATCCAACAAGGCCTTCATCACCACAGGGAAGAGCTGTTCATCCCTCGTCACCTGAAGACACACGAGGACTGGGTCGAATTCTGGCAAAGGCTGTTCAAATACATCATGTCTTGTATACATCACAATCTCAGGTTTCTCAATCCACAGTTGAATCCTCTCCCTAGCCCCCTGGAAGAATGGAGCCTACCACAAAGAAATAAAGAAAGGTTTAGAAAGATCTCCTTTAAAAAAAAAAAAGACAAAAATAATTTAGTTGAACAAATACTTACAAGCTCAAGGTTTGACCTCTGAGCCACATTCTGATAGACAAGTTTCATCCAGGGCCCTGTGATGATCTTCCCTATCAGGCCAAGCGCTTGTAGTTGCACCATTGCTTCAGGTTTGGAAAGGTCGCTCAACAAATTCTTGCACACTATCTGGTTCTTGCTATAGAGCATTATGCAATTGTTATTTTATTTTTTTTTTTTAAATCTTTAAATTAAATAAATATAAAATTAATAAATACTTACTTAGCAAGAAAGGTCCTCAGAAGGTCAGCATGCTTTACAACAACTCCAGCCATGTGAAAGAGAACTTGCAGCCTATTCCCAACGTATCTTACAAATGTTCCAGTGGGTACTTGGTGTTCTCTTAAAAATGCCTTAAAAACAGCAGGCTCTCCTTTGTGACTGTATCTGTTGAAACAAAAAAAAAAGATTAAAAAAATCAATATAAAAAAAAAAAAATCAATAAAATACTGAAAAAAATATTTAAAAAAAGAGCCCTGTGGAAAGAGTTAATTAGTGTAGTAAAAATATCAATCATCAATAACTAAAAAAAAATCTGGAAAAAACATGCTCACCTCAACTTTGAAACATTAACAATAATGTCAACAGCAAGAGCGTTGCCCTTACCAGAAGCAGCTTTCACATTCAGCTGCTTATCCAGAGTGGCGAGACACTCTCTTGCTTTTGATGCCACTGTGTCCAACGGGTGCACATTGCAATTCAGCTGTATAAACTGCATCTCCAGTTCGTTTTGCAATGCCTCCACTACACAGGCGTTGACCTTGGCCCTGTCACTTAAGCTGGCTTTACATTTCTCCTGAAAAATAGATAATACCTCTACTGGTGGTAACTGCATGAAGTCACCGTAGACTGACGCCCACTCCTTCAATGAAGCAATGATGTGTCCACTGTAATCTTCTGCTCTCCCACCAGCAACTCTTGCAGTTGAAAGAACATATTTATTATTGCCAGGTTCTGTAGAGACAGAAAAAGTGTTCAGGTGCTTTTCAACTTTAGTGGTGGCATCAAATGCAATACTGGCTGACCTGCAATTCTGAAGAGCCTCGCCAACCTGGATGAGCGCCAACACTCCAGGCTCATGAGCCATCCTTGTCGTACTTGAGCGATGGGGCATGCGTATTGGCTTATCTGGGGAAAAAACATGTGCATAATACCGAACAAGACCACTAACCTCCTTGACTGAGACGTTGGAAATCACCGACATGTATGTTACCTTTCTCTCTGACAAACCATATGCACGTCTAGATGGCTCCTCCATTTCTGCTGCAGTCAAACTGTCTAACTGGTCAGTAAGCTTTATGTTGTCTTCCAGCAGCCTTCTATTCTCTCCTTCAATAATGTCCAGCTGTGCCCGTAGCCTCATATTCTCTGCCAAAACTCTTTCCTTTTCTGTCATCACCCTGTTGATCACGCTTTGGTAAGACTCAGCTGCTGACCTATTCCTGTTTTGCAAACTTAACACAATGTCATGGTTTTTAATCATTGTTCTATTGAACTTACTCAGCAACTTACTATTCCTGATCTTGAATTGCCTAGCAGTTTCAACAAGCTGCGCAGTCCTATCTTTTTCTGAAGCTTTCTGTGATATGCATGCTGCCTTCCACTTTTCAACCTCAGCCTTTCTTCTTACCAATGACTGCTGCAAAACTTTTATGTTAGACAATTTTAAACGTCTACATTCCTTTCTTAAAGATCTCAATTTACTCTGTAAAGTAAGAATTGACTTATTCCTTACCACACACTTGGGACATCTCTCTTTGCGTAAAGAGTAGCTAGCAGTTGTCTCTGCCTTGGAGTCGCCCTCAGACATCTCTACATCTACAAAAACTGTATCATCATGTAAAACAGCCTGGGAAGTCGAAGGACCTGCAACATCTAAGAGGCTACTATCTTGATCACTTACCATTGCAACATTCAACTCACTCACCTCCGAGGTAGATACATCTGAAAAACTTACATCTTCACTTCCAACAACTACTCTCTCACTCAGCGACAGATCATGGGCTGTGGAGTCATCTTCCTCCAAGGGTTGGAAAGCAAATGGCCTGTTCAAAATGTCTACAATCCTGTCCCAGTTTCGATGCAACCACTTTCTTAGGCTATGGACATCTTTCAATAACTTTGTAACTGCATTATAAAACCTCTGAAAAAGAATAGAGTCATTTATATTTACCAACCTCAGTTCCAAAGCCAACTGCCTACACTTTTCAGCCTGACTCCTTTCACGGTTGAAATGCATAAACTGAACAACATACCCATTCAACAATGGCGTAGAATCTGTAAAAGTCTTAAGAAATGTGTCATAGTTACTAACAGCCTGTGAATTCATTATGATTAACTTAAATGTTTGTGTAATAATAAATACAACAAAGCACAATAAATTATAAATTGATATAATATGAGCAAAAAGATACAAATTAAATCAACAATTAACTAGCAAAGAAATCTCTGAATATCAAAAAAATTCACATGAAATCAGAAAGCAGCATAAACGAAGGCAATATGAATATAAAGAAACAATTCTAAAAATATGAGACTTAGGGCTAGATAATTGATTAATAAATAAATCAGAATAAAAAAAAATCTGTCAAGTTAGAAATAAATAGATAAATTAATAACAGAATTTAAATATGAATAAATAAAAAAATTAAAATAAAATCAACAAGAATTTTAAAAAGATTTAACTATTGCAAAGTCAACAAATTAGCCAGCACATTAACTAAATTGTTAAAGTTAATTCAAATAGGCCTAGGCCCATATAAAAATAAAGTTGAATAAAAATTCAAATAAGTATATATGCAAAATCTAAATTAAATATGCCAAGGCTTATTATGAGCCTGATAGTAATATAAAATCAATTAGAATTAATTTTAAATTAGTCTATGCTAATGTCATCAAAGAAGCAAGCAGGATAAATATTAAAATAAATATTAAATAAGCCTAGCTTAAATCATCTAAAATAAAATAAAGTAGGGCCTATTGACCAACAGGGCAGGCCTAAAATTAAAATCTCAAAGCAGAATCAACCTAAAAAAAAAATTATTACTAGATCTATTAGACTACTAAGAGAACTAGACCTAAAGTATAAATAATTAAGAACCTAGATCTAAAACTATTTTTATAATTCGTAACTAAAGTTAGATCAAGGGCCAGGCCCTAATAAAAATTATATAAATAGACCTAAACTAAGAATAAACTTAAACTAATTAAACTATAGCTAAAACTAAAATGACTAATGTAATAGTTAAATATCAAATCAATCACGATCAGCAAACATAAAAAAAAAAATAGTCAAGTTGTAGGCTAAACAGTATTTTTAAATGAATAAATATTAAATAATGTAGATCTAAGTATTAAGTATGCATCAAATACTCTCACCAATACCAATCTGAAGGGTAGATCGATGTGTTTCGCGGGCTTTTATAGGCCTAGCCTTGTAAGATACCTATCATCACCTGGCCAGGTAAAAGATCAATAATGATTCTCAATTAGCCTAATTACGCAGGAAATCAAGGCCAAATTGTGAGCCCAATTGAAATAATATACAACCCTTTTAGCGTCTATTGCGCATACTTCCGTTCAGCATCCATCACAATAGCGATGACGTCACAATAAAAAATTACGTGCTTTCAGTGACCTTTTTTGGGCGCCGATTTCTTAAAATGGTTATAAAATAATTACAATATTTTTTCACTAAACGATCAGTCTAATAATAGCCTACCGTACAGTGCCATTTGGACACCGAACAGACCATTATTTAAAGTTTTTAAACAACTCAAACTATACCCATGTTTACGTTTGACCTACATTGTCGGAAGCAAATTTTTTTTTTTTTTTTCTGGCAAAAATAGCTTTGTCATCTTCAGATAGCTTAAAATACGCGAAAAAAACGCCATTTTTCGCGTGATAATTATTTTTAAAGTTAATGTTAAGGTGGTCTCTCGAACAAAGCTGAAAAAATTGCCCAATCGTAGGCCAAGGTGTGGTAGCCATGTTCTGGTTAGCAACCAAGGACGCTTTCGAGTTAGCGAGCCTCGCTACTATAAATCGAAAAAAAATGTCCACGGAGGAACCTCTTCATAACTCTTGAGGTCGTAGACCGACCTTCGGGCGAATTAATTAAGCATTCAAATTCTCAATGTTTTCGAAAGCCTAAGCGAAGCTGGGCAGCATGCCTAGTAATAAATAAAACAAAAAAATGAAAATCAACTGTTGAACTGAACTGAAATCAGTAACAGGTTTTACTGTGGTTTAAGCTATTTAGTATGAAAATGTACTAACTCTTAATACGTGGTAACCCTCAGTTCCTCCACCCGGTATTTCAGTGCTAGCTGATCCTCCCATCTTCAGAACAGATAAATAATTATTGCTAAGATTGTTGTTGGAAACAAAATATCAAAACAAAATGGCCTCGACGTGGCATTCGAGTTACTTTTTCTTTCCCTTGAAATAGTAGATACTAATCGAGCACAAGTTTATTTTCTTCACTCCCAGTTTTCCAAGTCACAAACTAACTTGGTGTTAAAGCAGTGACGAAAGGGTTAAAGTAATGTTGTAGGGAGGGGGTGTCTTTTGAAATAAAATGTAAAAATAAAAAACGTGTTCGTTTTTGTTAGAACTGTTTTTTTTCTAAGGTTGTGAACAGGTGCGACTTCTTATGATTGATAGGGTCTGGCATTTTCTGAAGACGTGGTGAAAAGCTTCCTACGGCTACACATGCGAACGCTAACACTTTGTTCAATGGTAGTGGATCATATGTAGTATGTAGCTATATGTTATACTTTATTTCAGCAGATGTTACTTTAAGGCAGACTGCCCCCACCCCCCGGAAATTTCAAGTGCCCCCCCCCCCCCCGGAGAAAAATGTCTGGAAGAACCACTGGACGTTTTTTTTTTTTTTGTGATGTGTGACGAGGGAGAGTACAAAAGTACGTTTGACGACACACTTCAGCATTTTTAAAAGCGTTGAGATCTAGATTTTCTAGTTGAAACAGAATTTTAGACGATATTGCAAGTTTTCAAAATCGTTTTTTTTTTCTTCTAAATTGAAAGAACACATAATCAATCTATCCATAATTGAACAAACTCAGTAAATATTAAAAGAAACAGTTAAAAAAAACCCAGCGATTTTGAGAGGGGGTCAGCAGGCTGAAGTGTGACGTCATTATAGGCCAGGATCTGCTTTTTGTAATGATGTGTGATGGTGGGTATAAATAAGTCTCAGAAAATTATTGGAACATCTATATACTACTAAAAGTCAAGTTTGTTTACATGTTTGAATATTTATTTGTTTTTTTGTTTGTTTGCCTGATCGAATATCTCGCATGATTGCACTCATCGTGGAAAGCTGTAAAATAGTATGTAGGTAGAGAATAATTTTTTAATGCAGACAGACTGTTAATCACACATTTATTTAAAGACGTTAATTAATTTATTGATTTATTCATACGCAGAATAACCCATTTTTTTTTAAAATGTTAAAACCTTGACTAAACTTTGTGGGAATAGTGACGTCACAGGTTTTTGTTTACTCTTTAGTACAATAAAATGGCGGCGTCTATTGAAGAAAATTGTGTTCCCATTCAAAAGTTTAACGCGTTCTAAATCTAATTTTCTGTCGGTCATAACTTTAACAATACGTCCGTTTGCTGTATTTATTACGTCCCAACACTTATATCAATTTTAAACTGTCTTTTTTCATTTAGTTTTTCAATAAATTTCTCTAGATCTAAAGATCAGCTGTCGAAGGAAAGTTATTTATAGATCTAGATCTAGAATCTAGGTCAAATCAAATCTAATTTTCTGTCGGTCATAACTTTAACAATACGTCCGTTTGCTGTATTTATTACGTTCCAACACTTATATCAATTTTCAACTGTCTTTTTCATTTAGTTTTACGATAAATTTCTCTAGATCTACACTCTGTCCAAGAAAGTTATTTATTTATTTATAGATCTAGATCTAGAATCTAGGTCAAATCAAATATTTATTGATTATAGGCCTAAATACAATCCAAAAAAAAAGAGACTTAAGCAAACCAGTCGTAGATCTAGAATATAGATAATTCTATTCTATCTAGATTTAGATAATAGTGATTTTCTATATACTAAACTATTTTAGACCTTTATTATTTTATATAAATCTTTGTTTGGAATATGGTAATTTTGAAATGCTCGCTCCGGGCCCATCAGCGTAGCTAATGATTAGATCTAGATCTAGATTCTAGATCTAGCAAGAAAAACTAAACTTAAGACTTAAGCAAACGAGTCGTAGAATCTAGATCTAGATAATTCTATCTAGATCTAGATAATTTCAGACCTTCTTTATTTTATATAAATCTTTGTTTGTATAGCTATGAAATATGCTAATTAGGAAATGCTCGCTCCATGGCGTCTATTTGCATAATTTAAGATTTATACGCGGCTTCTATACTGCTGATTTTGCAAAATTATGAACGTAAACTCTAGATATAGCTCAGTCGTAGATCTAGAATATAGATAATTCTATCTAGATTTAGATAATAATAAGTTTCTATGGAATTGGCTAATTTAAGATAAAATTTAATTTGAAAGTTAGTACTACTAGACTTAATCTAGATCTAGATCTAGAATCTATGCGCTTAAATCAAGTTGCATAAGTATAGTATAAAAATTCACTTGTGACGTCACGTGTAAATAGCTAAGTTGGTAGCGTAGCCCGCTCTCATGTGGGTGGCACAGGTTCTAGACCAATATGTCAATGATATTTTTTTTTTTTTAGATGTGAATGATAAAGTTGCCTATCTGAACTTGGAAGGATACAAGGCAGGTGAAGTAGAGTTCATCTGTTTCTTTGTCCTAAGCATATGAAAGGATAGTGTGGTCAGAGACATGCTCGGCTGGAATCGTTTTTTAAACGATAAAAACATGTTGTCTGAGACTTGGCGGGACACTGGGCAGGTGAAGTAGAGTTGAGTAGGTCACATGTGACGTCAGTATATGAAGGGATAGTCCGAAATCGGTGTTTTCGGTGTTTTTAAAAGATAAGAAACATATTTTTGAATGTGGGATCTGTTTTTTGTGACGATAAGTGACACTGCAGTAGCGTAGCGAGGAGGGGGGGGGGGGCGGGAGGGGGAGGGGAGGCGGGGGGGGGGGGAGGGGAGGTGGAGGGGGGAAGGGGGGCGCGTGGGGGGACATATGTTGGGGCGCCAAAATGGTTTGGAAAAATAAATTGAAAGGTTGAGGGGGGTGCAAATCGAAAGTTTGAATGGGGGGGGGGGGGTGCACATCAAAAGTTTGAGGGGGGGGTGCAAATCGAAATCTTGCGGGGGGGGGGGGGGGGTTCAAATCGAAAAGTTTGTCCCCGGGCGCCGGGAAGGGTCGCTATGCCTCTGAGTGACAGACGTGATGTTTTTTGATGGATGACCCCCGAAACCCACAGTTATCCAACGGATGACGGGTAGTCTAGTATAGATCTAAATGTTGAATTTTTAAAAATAATATTTTAGAATTGATTTACTTAGCTTTTCATTAATACTGTCTTTTATTGCATTTTTTTGCTCTCTTTTTTAGTTTTGCATCTGATTAACGATTTTCGTTAACTTTTAATGTTTGTTTTAATTTGTATCGAATGTATTAAATAAAGCAAGTCAACAAAACGACATATTGGCATAGAACTTACAAAATCTGGCCATCTAAACAACCAAAGGCGAATGTAATCGATCATACATAAATACTGCATGAGTTGAAAAATAAATTGATAAACGTAGGGCACAGCGCCTCTTACTTATTACTCTTAAGCCTATAAATTAATTTTCAGCCTAAACTTAATTTTTTTATCAAATAAGTTAACTTAAACAATACACTTCATCTTGAGTCTTAGATTATTAGGTGACGTGAGGTTATAGATCAAATAATGAACATGTCATATCCGCCTTATCCGGCCTACTCTCGGTTACTAGATCTAGATCTACAACTTACTTGACTTGACACTTGACACAATGATTATTAATTCTGATTAGGGCCTATTTATTTGATTATTGATTTGATTAGGCCCATTAATAAAATTAATTTAAATTTATTTAATATTTGTATTTTATTATATTGAGTAATAATAGTCATAATTTACTAATTCTATGCGCACACAAACTATTCAATCTTATTCTAGATCTAGTAAGAAAGTACTAAGTCAAAGTCTAACTACTAACTATAACTTATTACCTAGATCTAGTTACAAGATCTAGAAACTAGTAAAACAAATAAAAGAATGACCAGACACCCCCATCCAGAATTCTTGTTTTTCTTAGCTTGGCTGCTGTTAACAAGTTTGGTCGCATCTGATGAAAACATTACTAGGCCTACTCACTACTCTTAATGTTTATTAATATTAATTAGACTTATTAATAGACCTCCCTGAAAAGTTTAGAATATCCTAGTGTTTTGTTTAAAAACTGGTGCATGAAACATTTTTGCAACTTTTAAAAAACATAAATCCTTGTAAAATGTGCAAAATAATTAATAAAATTTAAATAGTCACCGTCTGTCACAAGTCTAGCTTCCAATGATTTTACAGTCCTAAACAATATATTACAGAATCTATTGTTTTTGCAATTTTTTAAGTAACCTGTAATACTAATACAGTATATTTAGCCTATTCATTAGTGTAATATTGTATAATATATTTAAACAGAAATACAGCAACCATGGGGAAAATGAAAAGAATGAGACAAAAGCTGCATACAGCAGCTGCAAAAGTAAAGGCTAAGAACAAAACAGAAGATCAAGAAATGATGGAGGAGTCTACAATAACAGTGGTATGTCACTGTATAACTATCAGCCTCTTCATATGATTTTAAAAATATTTTCTTAAAGAGTTTAACACAGTCATGTGCAAGTAGCATCATGATTCTTGTGGACCCCTTGTTCAGCATAGTGATACAACCACATCTTTCTATTGCACTTTGATGTGATTTGTCCAAGTTGCTTCACTGTCAACAGATTTTTCATGTTTGTTTTTGTACCTACTTTTTTCTTGGATATTCCATTCAGTTACCTGATTTGCTTCATTTTATTTCCATAGTTTGATGTTAATAATTTTCTCAAGCTAGCTAATGTTTATGTTCATCCATTTACTAAAGTCTAAATATAGTCATACTGTTTTCTATATATTGTATTGCAAATTTCTTTACTCTATTATTAACTGAAAATAAAAACATTTGAATTTCTGTTTTGCATTTTGATTATTTAAGTTTATCTTTTACAGCCACATAAAGCAAGCTCAACAGCTAATGTACCGAGGGGTGAAAATTTGTTTCAAAATCTTAAAATAGCAGCCACAGATTTAATAACACAGAAACTTCCAGATTTTGATGCTCGAAGTACTATAACAAGCAAGACTTTCAAAGGACAGAACTTGAAGAAGAAAGACAAACAAAAAATTAGACATGATGTTTGGATGTCTAGTAAGTAACATGCACCTATAAAAAAAAATGTTACATTTTTTTTAACTTATTACATTATGATTGTCTAATTAACAAAAATATTTATGTCTTAATTTAGAAATCGATGCTGTTCAGGGTGCCAAAAAGAAAGAAATAGAAAGAAAAAGAAAACAGAAAGTTCCTATAGTAGGGGACCTAACTCCTATGGAAGATGCCCTACCAACACTTGAGCTTTTGTTGAAGAAAACCACTGAGAGTGCCTCATCTAGGTTTGCTGCATCTTTCTGTGTTTTATTGATAAGATAATGAATATTATTTTATTTTATTTTTTGCTGATTGATATCTGACCATATTAAGGTTTTTAAATTGAATTTTCATATTTTATTTGTAGAAAAAATGCAGAAAAACCAAGACCAATACCTAAAGAGAGCAGAAGGAAGAAACAAATGTAAGTTCCATTTTACTACCTAACTAAAATTTTCAGATGTAAACAATGGAAAAAGCTACATCTTAGTAAATACCTTTAGAAAATTCAGTAGTAAACAGATTTTTGATGGACATCAGAAACATGGGAAGAGATGGTTTTTTTTCAGTACCCAAAATTATAAACTATGCTTGTATTGGTCAAAATATATTATTTAAAAATTTACTGGCTTATTTGATGAATTAGATTCAAATAATTTGAAAAGTATAGTAAAGTAACAAATCATTCGCCTAGGAAACCCCTGGGTCTATTCAGCTCTATTGAGTACATGACTAGTCTGGGCTTGTAAATGTAAAATTTGCAAAACATTCATGTGTTTAGGTCATAGGGTCAGATGAGCTACACAAATATTTAACACAGGCATTTGTCTATCAGCCCCCATCCCCTCCACCCCCTGGAGAAAATTTTTTTTTTTTTTAAATCTTGTAACTTTGAGATGAAAAATGTGTGAGCTAAATTATCTGTCTAAATGGGATTTGTATCTTCACAGGTTGAGGTTTTAGATTAGAAAATATTAAATAAATAGTTGTATATTTATTGAAGCCTCAGCAAAATAATATATTTTGTTTTAATTTATTCAACACCAAACTTGAATTTATTTCTTCATAAATTTTTTTTTTTATTAGGATTGATGACATTTCTCTGTTTCACAAGATTGTTCAACACCCCCTCTTTCAACAAAATGCTGAAACAACTATTAAAGAGCATTTAAAACATAAGCTGATGTTGGAGAATGAAAAGAACACCTAGTAGTGATTTGTTTTGTTGTAATGCAGTATGAATGAGCAAAGGGTTTAAATGTTTTTGGTTGCATTGTATACCTGGTGTAAAATCTTTGTATTTAAACAATGTTTATGTGCATTTATAAAAAATTGAATGGTTCTATATAAAGTGATTATTTGCTCTTATATCTTAATGTTTGAGAAAATAAAATAATAATATAATCTTTTGTTTTCTTGTTGAATCTTCATCTTTTCCTGTTTTTGCTCAAGACACATGGAGCAGATGAAGTAGAGTTCATCTGTTTTAGTGACCTCTGCATAGGTAATGTAATGTGTTTAGCATTATGCCCAGCCACCTTAGTCTCCTTGATGTGTGTCAGGTACCCTGAGAGCTATGGACTTGAACCCTGAGTAAAGCTTGATACGATACTTGTGGGGTAACCGTCACTGCTCTACCATCCAACCAGCACTATATTAACTTTAATAGATCATCCAGAAATGACGAAGAGTTTTATAATTTTTACTTCCCCTTCCCACGATCATATCAGGCACATTCCCTTAAAATGAGGTAACTCTCCCCTTCAAATTTTTTTTAAAGCTATGATTTCTTTCTAAAATAAATCAGGTAGATCTGTGTATATCTATTTATATCAAGTAAGTCTTTTTAAAATACAGTTTCTAAATTCAGAAACTACTTTTCGAAATGCAAGTGTGATAACATACTTTCTTTACCTCCACACATCATAGCAAGTCCAAACCCCTGCACAACTTTGAGAATTAAGACATAGAAAACCCCTGAACTGCAATAGTGTCACTAGAATTAGAGTAATGTAAGGCTACTGTAATTAACCTTGGTGTATGCTAAAAAGAACCATCACTAAAAACAAATTGCAATAAATACTTGACATAAGGCAAACACCATCAAAACTGGTCAAAAATCAGGTCATCTGACCAAGACATTAAACACTGGACAGTTATGTAGTTGGTAGCTTATTACTCCAGCAGTAATGATTGGAGATAATGTAATTATGTTATCTAAAAATTAAAAACCTGCATATACAAGATGAATACTAGGCAGAAAATCAATCAGCTTTATTTACTAACTACGATTATGCAGATCCTGCAATACAAATTTATAATTTTTTATCAAATAAAAGAAAACAGGTCATTTCTCATGTCTTTTATTTTTGCTAAATTAAAATAAATGTTATAAATATCTTCAAAATTCTGCACACATTGGACAAAAATACTCTAACACACTGGGAATGGTTTAATGGGACAATAGATTAGCGATATTTAACTACCCTCAACCGTTAAACAAAGTCAACCTCAGTCTTAAGAATTGAATTATAATGAATTATATAAAAAAAATTTAACAACATTGAGGCAGTTAATACAGTAAAAACATGAACGTTAAACAGATCTCTAATGTATATATAAAGTAAGTAAATTTTAACTGTAAAGAAAAATGGAAGACCATTTATGAACTAACTTTTGATTAATAAATCCTAAATCAACAGGATTAATAAAATTAAAATAATCTCAATGATGGTATGTTTATACTGTGTCCAATAAAACTAATATCTAACTATCACATAATACAGCAAACACATTTTTTAAAAATCACACTGCAACTTTAGCAATATACCAGAAGAAAAACATTTATTCCAGCAGAAGAATCTAGTAATGATGAAAAGGCACAAATAAATTGTCAAACATGCACATTGATTTGGAACAATTGTTCAGTTCTGGGTATTTAAGTATTGACTAGCTCTCAAGTTATCTGATATTGGGGGGAAAAAAGTGTGGCTGCCCCTTTTTCTGCTTATGCAACATGAAAACAAACTGGCTTTTTTCCTTACTAACCTTAAAAACTGAAGAAAAAAATATAACTTACTTGCATAGCAAGCAACATATCAGTTCACTTGCATAGCAAGTGAAGTAGTTTTAGTGCTATGATTTTTTTAAATACCACATTTTATGCTTTCACTAACATAAAACCACATAAACTTTTAAAATAAATTGGCTGATTCTTCCTAAAATACAAGAAAATCTTTTTGATAATAGTTTATCCTTATAAGTAGCAGTAGCAAAAGACAATGTTAAGCAAAGCTATGCAGTACAACCTACTGCTATTACAGAATGGTAACAATAACTAAAACAATGTAATTTCAACATCAACATACCGTCATTTTATAGGTTCGAATTCACAATAATTTATGGACATTGGTTTAAATATAACACTATGATAAGTGATAGCAAAACAGGTAACAGTATATTCTAACCTTTCAATACTTACAAGTTCTTTCTGAATTGTATTACAGTGACAAAAAATTAAAGTATCATTCAACCACAAGTGTAATGTTTATAGGCACTACCAATATCATGGCTTTATGCCATCTAATGACAAAGGTTTCATAATTTCATCACTAGATGACTTAATACACAACTTAAATGCCAGTTTACATTAAGAAAAAAACTTGCCGTTAAAAATATTTTTTTGCAACAGAAATTCATTATATTGTTAAACGGTGGTTAAGTAAATTAAAAAAAAAACATCTTTGGATGGTTAATGTTTTTTTTTTATCCGAAATCAATTTTAACAATTTTGGCAAGAATCGAATGAGCACTGAATTTTTGTTTATATTTCATGGACTGATACTCTATCAAGTAAGGATTTGTTTTTTTTTCTTATATGTGAAACTGAATTTCTTTTAAATTAAAGAGGTCCTTTTAAATAAACTTAAAGTTCATCATGTTTTGGACCACTAAATTCATCATGAGAAATAAAGCCATCTTTATCTTTATCTTCATGGTTAAAAATCTGGGTAATAATTTCTTTGTGTTGGCTATCATCATCGGGTGCTTTTCCGCCAGCTTTAGCAGCTTGCTTCTTCAAATAATCTGAAACCTGTGGAATTGCACATTAGTGTTTAAAAGTATTTTTAAAAATTATTTTGTAAAAATTAAAAAATGATATAAATATGAAAAATTATATAAATATGAACAAATAATACTGGCAAACTGAACTATAATGAACTAGGGTAAATACATTTAACTCTTTATTTATACATATCACTTTAATTTTAAGTTAGAAATAGTGTAGACCTACCTCATCTTGTGAAAGCTGTTTATCATTGTCAGTGTCAATCTCTTTGAACACATTAGGGGGAGGTGCTCCTTCTTTGAGACCAACCAACTCAACCTCAAAAGTAAGTCCAGCATTAGGTGGAATCATTGCTCCTAAACATCAAGAAGATTTAAATTAGTATAAATGTCAAGATTTAAAATAAAAACATTAAAAATAAATTGATTAAAACACTGAGCGGTCATGTGACAACCAGGTGTTCCTTGTTGAGATCTGTAAAATACTATTAATCAGGGTGAAGTACATTATAATCAAATGCAGCCATTGTGGATTATCAGATATTTTAAAGCCTATGCTTAAGACTGGCCTTAACCTTAATGCACACACAACCTAAATCCCTTAATAAAACCTTTGTATTTCTACCCTACACATTTATCAGCAGGGTCTACGCACTTAGTGTATGAGAGCAGCCTAGTAGCTTGTAACGGAAGAGGTAAAAAAAAGAAAAGTTCCCTTTTGGGCCTAATTATCCATACGGCAGATGAAGTTTATTTTTTTTATCAGGGCATATGAAGAGTTGATTTTGGGTAATAGTCATATGCCCCGCTGCCTTTACTTTCTCTAACATTATTAAGGTGCCCATCATAGCTAGGTCGACTATTGGATGTCCAACAGACTCTAGTCCTAGATCTAAACTTGAGACTTCCATGCTAGTAGTCAAGGGTTCTACCATCTGACCACTCTGTCCATAATGAAAAAGGCAATGGTTATTATTTGTAGAAAAATGTGGATGTTCTTTACCTGCACCTTGCTCTCCGTAACCTTTGGTTGATGGAATGATCAGCTTTCTTTTCTCCCCAACACACATATCAAGGAGACCTTCATCCCATCCTTTAATTACTTGACCAGTACCCAACTGAAATTCAAATGGCTGATCTCTGTCGAAACTGAAAATGTAAATAGTAAATAGCTATGAAATTTATAATTTGAATAGAAAGTGTTAGCTTCACACCAAAAATTATAAGCAATTTAATTAAATCAGTTGGAATATATCTAGATCTAGGCCTATATATAGATCTAGGTAATTTAGGCTAAACTATATCTAAATTTAGATCTAAAACTAATAGTAATAGTGAAAAGAGTAGTAAGCCTAATATAATTAAATAAGTAGTAGATTTAGATCTAACAAGTCACAAGTAGACTATGTACTAGGATGGCCTCCCGATTCTCACTGCCCAGCATATTTTTTTTCCCTGTTACCCAGCGGTTTGCTTTTGCGGCTAAGTGAGTTTGACCGTTTAGTAAATTTTTTCCTCTCCGTTCTTGAACAGTCAAATTTAATGTGGAAATTGTTTTTCTACTTAAAAATGGACTTGGCCTGGCTTTTTATCTTTTGATTTTATTTTCATGGATTATTCAAAATGAAGTTTTTCATTGAAAATAAGGTAAGTTTAATTTATTGTTTAAAATTAACCATAGGACGGATGTCTTTTTTTATTGATTGCTAAAGTCCCTACACCATTTTCCCCTATCATACTGAAATTTGAAAGTGTTTAGATATAGACTATTACTAGAGAGTAGTAGAGATCTAGCTATCTAGATTTCTAGTCTACTAGATTCTAGTACTACTCTATGTCTAAATATTTTTTGTAAAATACTAGTCTACTAGATTCTAGATATAGATCTTGTGTCTAAAAAGCCAGTCTAAGGTCTAAATGGCTTACCTGGAGTCAAACTTTGTTCCCGATTCAGTTAGCGTGCCGGTATAATGCATTGAAAGCATATCATATCGTTTACTTTTTTTGTCACAATCCTCTGGTGGTGGGGTGAGAATTTCAATAACAACTTTATTAGGGTCTGCATTTCCGTCTGCTACAGGTTCTTCATCTGCATAACCTATTACAAAAAATGATAATACGAGTACTGCAACAATACGAAGCGTACGAAAAGCCATGTTGAGTTTTATTTAGGCTATAAACGACTTTGAAGACTTGTGAATATTATTTCTATTCCTATACCGCGAGCTGTGCAACAAAAGTGGCTTGTATCTAGAACCCTAGTTCTAGTTGTAGACGGTATATTTACGACGTGGCAACTTTCGTTTTCAGTGTGGTCTACAATCTGAACTAGCCTACTACTGATGTTACGTTTATGAACAAATCGATGGCAGTGGTATGAGACGAGGCTGTTTATTGGACAGCAGACAACTTCAAGAAACCGTGTGCTCCATTCATTGGTTGCTCAGTTGAAGTCGGTGACCTGTTCCCAAAAATGACACGTAGGGTCTAACTCTAAAATCTTAATATCGCTGTGCGCTGGTCAAGGCCTAATAAAAATAATAGTTGTAATTTTTGTTAAAAATCTCATTTTATTTTTAAATATTAAGTGATTTGATTTTGAATGTATTGATAAGTGTTCTATTTAGATCTAGATTCTAGATCTATATTGCTTGACAATTGAAAGTTTCATTTTTTTTTAAATTTTTAGAAGAATTAACAGTAATTTCAAAATTAGTGCCTAAGCTTTGCCTAAAAATTAAAATTTAACCGGCTGGGCTGGGAGGACAATGAGAGCGAGTATTTCGAGACCGGAGCATAAAAAGCTGTTTTAAACTCAATATCTAGATCTGCCTAAGGGGTCATCAATAAATGACGTCACGCTTTTTTGACGATTTTTTCCTCGCCCCCCTCCCCTCCGTCACACGTCGTCACAAAAAGCCAGACCCCCCTAAAATGACGTCACGCCTATGCCTACAACCCCCCCCCCCCCTCAAAATCGCATTTGAATTTTTTTTCAACATCTATATTTTTCTAAAATCTTAACTGTCTGAACTCTGTCAAAATAGAGTATTTTAATCAATTCCTATACAATTTATTAAAACAGTTTTCTAAAACGCGAAATAACGTCTGAAATTCGTTTTCTAACATTGCTTTTGTATAACGCAAAAGTGTGACGGCGCACCATTGAACCCCCCCCCCCTCATTTATGGACGACCTCTAAGTTGAAGTATTTTTTTTTTAAAAGTAATGTAGATCTATTGCTGCTTTAAAAAAAAAAGAGCCTTATCTTGAAGGCTGCAGTATGACAAGATGGCGCATACGCGTACTAAAGCCGATTATGTTCAGGGTTGTCGCGGGACGAGGACCAAGGCTAAAAAAAAAACTCACAACATTCCGGTGAAACATGCATTTCCCCAGGTCAATAATGATTATTTAAAGTTGAATAGTTTTTAGGTATGAACTTACGATTCCGACAAAAAAGAAGGGAGGGGGGGGGATCAGTAGCCTAGCGACGGGGGACATATGTCCCCGGGCGCCGACCTTGGGGGGCGCCAAAATGGGTTGGAAAAATATATTGAAAGGTCGAGGGGGGTCCAAATCGAAAGTTTGAGGGGGTGCAAATCGAAATCTTGAGGGGGGTACATATCGAAAGTTTGAGGGGGGGGTGCAAATCATAATCTTGAGGGGGGTGCAAATCGAAAAGTTTGTCCCCGGGCGCCGGGAAGGGTCGCTACGCCTCTGGTGGGGGGGGGGGGGGGGGGTTGGACACACCCTAATGGAAACTTGCAAACTATAGAGAAATTTGAGTTGTATTAGTACAAACATTGTCAGCCCAAAAAGTCCGGAGCTGTAAAGTTTTTAAATATATCCAGAAAAGAAAGCATAACGAAATACATTATATACACATTCTTATACACACACACACACACACACACACTATATATATATATATATATATATATATATATATATATATATATATATATATATATATATATATATATATATATATATATATATATATATAATTTTTTTCTTTTTTTATTTGGTGGTGGGGGTGGGGTGACACTCGACGTAGTGACTCCACTGTAAACGCATAAGCATTAAGGGCATTAAGTATATACACACACACACACACACACATATATATATATATATATATATATATATATATATATATATATCTTTCGTTCATTACAATAGTCTTAAATCGCTTTACATCCGTCTCTAACTACGCTACATAGGGAGATTTCTCTAATAATAAATTAGTATTAGACTCCTAAAACAACACATTAGACTAATCTGTGTGTGAGTATTAGTCTATAATACATACTTTGGTATTGGGAGATTTAAAAAACGTAAAACATTATACAGTATTTGCTCAATTTCTAGGGGATAAAGATTTGAGTTTGATATTTTACTTGAGGAAAATATAGCCATGTCCTGATCCTCTATTATTAAAAAAAAAAAAAGAAAAAAAACCTTTCTGTTTTCAAACAGCTGGATGTCAACATAAGAACACTGCTGAGGTTAATAGGCGTACATTATTCCACCCAATCCCTTTCCTTTCCCTTCTGTTTCAGACGTGAACTGCTCGTGTGATCGTTCATGCATGTTATAGATTGTGATCGTAATGAGCCAATTGTAGTGCAGCCTCGAGGCGTGCTTAGAGACCATACGGGATATAAATGGTTAACTGGGGGTTACAGAAATGTTTGAATGTTTTTAGATTCGGTTTATAACTGTAAATTCTGAGAACAAGGCTAGTTAGATATCAATGACGGAGTATCTATCTAGATAACTTCAGATGTAGAAAAGGCTAGTCAAATATGAATGACGGATAATCAGAGTTTCTTCCAGGCGCTTCGCCCCCCCCCCCCCCCGAAATTTTTTTACCGCACCCCGAAAGAAATGAAATTTATATAATTTATATAGAAAATATATACTTTTAACAGTGTCCGTCCCCCCCCCCCAAAGAAAGTTTACCCCCCCCCCCCCGAAAATTTCAAGTGCCCCCCCCCCCCCCCGGGAGAAAAAAGTCTGGAAGAAACATTGCGGATAATCTATCTAGACAACATCAGGTCAGTGGCGTAGCCAGGGGGGGGGGGGTAGGGGGGTCATAACCCCCCCCCCCATAGACCTCTCGGTATATATATAAAGTATGAGGGGGGTGTAAATCAAAAGTTTGAGGGGGGGGGGGGGGGGGGCAAAAATCGAAAGTTTGTCCCCGGGTAAAAATTTGAACCACTCCCCCCCCCCCCCCCCAATGAGACGATCCTGGCTACGCTACTGCATCAGATGTAGACAAAGCTAATTAGATATGAATGACGGAGTATCTGGTTGGTTGGTGTTGTGTTGTTTGTTATAGATTATAAACTTTAAACATAAATTGTCAAATACCCATGCTCGAATGCCGACAATTTGAATTAAAATTTAAAAAAAAATTATTTGAAAAATCTGCAATCAGACAAATATTTGATAGACCAATTGGTTTAAATTTAAGCGGTAGCAAACTGAAAATTCGCCAAAGAGGTATAATACATAGGATGTAATAATTTGTGTAAATAGAAATTATCCAAATGAATTTGCCCCAGATTCTTCTAGCTACCATACTTATATAATCACTTGTAAGATGTAGTTGTGTCACAACCTGGGACGATATATTTTAGTTTGTAACACCTAATTAAAAAATCGTAAAATGTACTGTCTAGAACAAGGTTTAATTTTAATCCACTTAAAAACAAAAGCTTATTAAGGGAGAAAGAGAGTAGAAAGATACCAAACCGAAAATACAAAGGGGGTGAAGTGACACCCTCAGTTACAGCACACAGGTACACCCGACCTAGTGACGCCATTTGTTAAGATGAACTAACTTGCCAGTTAGAAATTCTATTCATACAAATTATTGATAGTCGGCCTTGTTTACTACAGTTTACAGAAGGCCGAATGTATAAATTTCGATTGTCAATGTTTTCCCTACGTGTTGCACGTTACTTGCAGGTGTGCTAGCGTAAACAACTGGTCTATTGTTACACCGTGGTTGTCTCCTAACAGGTGTGACAAGCGAGGTGTTCAACCACAAAGGCGGGTCAATAAATCAATACCCATAACAGACGTGGCCTCACAATTCCTATCTACAAATCTTAGCGTCACACGTTGTAAATGTGCATTTTTAAATGTCACTTATCATCACGTTTATATATGTGTGTTTCTTCCAGACTTTTTTCTCCGGTGGGGCACTTGATATTTTCGAGGGGGGGGGGGGGGAGGGGCGGTCAACATTTTCCGGAGGGGCGGACACTGGTAAAAGTATATATTTTCTATATAAATTCCATCTCGTTCGGGGGTGCGGTAGACTTTCCCCCGAAGAGGTTCCTGCTGGATTCACGTCGTAGATAATTAAACTATTGTAGAGCAAGTAAGTGGTTATTGACTGAACTGTTACAGATTTAAATTGTCGCAGGTTACTCGGGAGCGTTGTATAGGTTAAAACTAACCTGGCTCTAACTCCAGTCCTAACTTTACAAACCAACGTGTTACGTTATGCCATTTTAGTTTTTGTTACGTCCCTTGTATTTTTATATTTATTTGTATATCATAGTTACGCCCCTTGAATAATCCGTGCTGATGTGTAGCTGTGGAGACACAGTTATGGAAGATGGAGCTGGAGCTGTCTGTTATCAGTAATAAAATACTTGAGTCAACTCGAAGAAGTCTTTTATTTATTCTAATTAAAAGAAATCAAGTAATCGGCTATGTTTGCGTTCAGTCCATTATCGGCAGCAATATCTTCCATCGGCGGCCAACTGCAGTACTAAGTTTTCTGTTCTGGTTTTTTTCTCTTCTACTGGTTTATCACGTGGTCTATCTGGGTGGGAGGGGTCAGTGTGGTCCGGTCAGGAAAGCTCATGTATAGTGAATTACGTTTTCTAACACTCATAGACACACATATACACGCACGCACGCACACACACACACACACATAGACTACAAGCGTAACCATCCCGCGCGTTGCTGCGGTCTCAGAAGGACTGGCGCAATGTTTTAAGAGTATTTCATCAACGTATTACAAATTGTGTATTTTTAGATCCGTGTCCTTGTCATTTAAATGCAAACAAAGCAGTTGGTGGAGCGCGGGTTTGTCCAAACTACCACCCAAACATCACAGAGCGTGCTGTACGAGTAAGAACGCCTTGATTGTACCTTAATTAACCTCCGTAATATTAAATTTAGAACCTATTTCGGCGACCGCTCAAATGTGAGGGCCATCGCGGGGTCACGGGGTGCGCTATGGAGCAACCAGTTACATTTCAAAAGGGGCGCCGTGTAAAGCCGCTGGTTTGATTTAATCATTGAATGTCGTGTGCCGTCGTGTCCCATACTGTACAGAA